CATGCCCTTGACCGGAATCGAACCCAGGACCTTTCAGTCCGCAGACCAACGCTCTACCACTGAGCCAAACCGGTTTCGGCTAATGAAACTCTTGTAATTAGGACATGCTGGAATTGGTTCCGACATTTAAATAGTTGGAGTCAGTAACAAGTCTTCTGACATGTAAAAGAAAAACAAAAACCTTTGTCCTGCTGTTGCAGGTTTAAGGAGTTCCTGAGTAAACACGTTCATTTAATGTGCTACCGGATCTGCGTGCGAGCCCTGACAGCCATCATCACTTACCACGACAGGTGAGTGGTACATACAGAGGACAGCCAGCTAACCAGAGCTCTTCTGAGCTTTCAGTTAGTGAAGCTGAGGTGAGGGATGAGTTCCAAATGAATTGTTTCACATCAATTTGTATTGCTTTGCATACATTCTAAACAGGAAAAACAGGCCTAGAAACGGTGGCATCTGTGTGGCCAATCATACCTCTCCTATTGACGTCATCATTTTAGCCAGTGATGGCTATTATGCCATGGTAAGACTTATTTCTTTCGCTTTCTTGGGGCAGGCTTCTTACTTTAGAGACTGGTCAGGTCTGGGAGGCTTCTGGACCCTTCACTAAAGCTCTTTCTTAAGTTTATGAGCAAGTAAACATGTTTTATGTACGGGCTCCGGTTTAGATTTTTGCCTTTTTTCTGTGGCTTCTAATAACTCCTTGGGACTTTAATAGCAGATATTCTGAGCAGGGTGACTGAAAATGTGGCTGGAGATTAGGCATGGAAGGGGGGAAGATAGGGAGGGAGGATTTGAACGTACTGGGTTCCAGGGCATTGGAGAATCTGTCCAGGCGGCACTTTACACAGGTGTCATTCAGTATTTCATTTTAGGATTTTCAACTGTGTTTTCAATTACATATCTCTGGTATCACTGATTAAAAAGAAATGTAAGATTCAGGGAGTCTAATAGTGGTTTCTTAATAAAATGTGGTTATCAATAAAATGTTAGTATGTGAAAGGTTGGTGTGGTTATCTTGTGGGATCTGGGGCTTTCTCCAAAGAGTGGGGGATTTGTGTGGGGATGGTTTCACTACCAGTTATTTCTTTGTCTGAGATTAGGTGGGTCAAGTGCACGGGGGACTCATGGGTGTGATTCAGAGAGCCATGGTGAAGGCCTGTCCTCATGTCTGGTTTGAGCGGTCTGAGGTGAAAGATCGCCACCTGGTGGCTAAAAGGTAAATCAACAAAATGCTATCGTTCTATGATATATGACCAGTTATAGAGAAAATAAGCATTTTAGAGGTAGTTATCTCTCCATAATAGAATTGTGGTATCTTCTACACTGAGTCTATACTGCTTTCATAATAAAAATATTTTTTCTAAAACATGAAATATAAAAATATATACAAACCCTTATATTATTTACCAATAGTAATGTTTCTAAACCTAATTTCTTGCACCCCTTGTAATAAACAACTTACGTTATTTGAAATCTCAAAGTGAATTATTACAAATAAAAACAAACTTAAAGCAATGCAACAAAGTGGTGCCCTGTTTCAAGCTGGAAAAAAGGGTTAATCTGGTGCAAGTAATGGCAGAAGCTTTGCAGTAAATGAGAGGAATCCAGACCCAACTGAGACCATCTTTTATAAGGACAAGTGAACCTGCCACTCAAGTCCCTTTGCTGCCTCTCTCAGGATGGGGCGTAAAGCCAGGTGGATATAGGCCCAGCTTAGCAAGACTGGTATAGCAGGTGTTTATTGAGGGTGCTCTTCGCAAGGCTCCATAGCAGATGTGCCCTGCAGATAGTCCCAAATCTGTGCAATGTCCTCAGTATACAAACTTTAACACTTAATGGAATAATTGTATGAATTAAATAGTAGTCATCTCATTATCCCTTGTCCTTATGAGTTTTAGCTTTGTGAGATTTAGATTTGGGGTTTATAAAATATAGGGTCATGTTTGTTCACTATGCAGTATCTAATGTCACATCTATGTAGGTTATTCATAAATGCATTCTGGTGGTAATGGACTAAGGCTGCCTGATCCTCTGTTTTATTTTTCTCTTCTAAAGACTAACTGAGCACGTGCAGGATAAAAGCAAGCTACCTATCCTCATCTTCCCAGAGGGTAAGAAGCCTTTGATCACCACCGAGGGCTGCTGTGGGGGAGGCCGTGCAGGATGGGAACGCTGGTGTTGCCTCAGCACCAAGTTCCTCAACTTTTGTTGGGGTTATCTGTTTTCATGAATAATGTTATGTCCTTTTGGATTGGTTGTGGGATTAATAACTTAGAAATTTAGAATTTAGAATAAATGTGATAGTGTGAACTTTCAATGCAGGAATCCCTTCTGTGGTATTGTCTTCAGCTTCCTGTAAACTTCAACTCCTATGAAGTTCTTACTGAGACCTGCCAAATCTGCAGGCGTCTTTGGCCTTTTATCCAGGCTGGTGTGTGTTCATCAAGAACTGGTCCTGTTATAAGAGAACTAGAGGCCTGGTGCACGAAAATTGTGCACGGGGGTGGAGAGGAGGGGTGTCCCTCAGCCCAGCCTGCACCCTCTCCAATCTGGGATCCCTCTTACAATCCAGGTCTGCTGCTTCCCAACTGCTCACCTGCCTGCCTTCCTGATTGCCTCTAACTGCTTCAACCTGATCACCCCCTAACCACTCCTATGCCAGCCTGATTGATGTCTAACTGCTCCCATGCCAGCCCGTTTGCCCCCAACTTCCCTCATCTGTCAGCCTGGTCACCCCTAACTGCCCTCCCCTGCAGGGTTGATTGCCTTCAACTGCCCTCCCTTGCAGGCCTGGTGCCTCTCAACTGCCCTCCCCTATTTGCCTGATCACCCACAACTGCCCTCCCTTTCAGGCCTGGTGCTTCCCAACTGCCCTCCCATGCTGGCCATCTTGTTGTGGCCATCTTGTGTCCACATGGGGGCAGGATCTTTGACCACATGGGGACAGCCATATTGTGTGTTGGAGTGATGGTCAATCTGCATATTACTCTTTTATTAGATAGGATAGAGGCCTAGTGCCTGGGTGGGGGCCAGCTGGTTTGCCCTGAAGGGTGTCCCAGATCAGGGTGGGGGTTCCCTTGGAGTGTGGAGTGCCTGGGTGAGGGGCCTGTGGTGGTTTGCAGGCCAGTCATGCCCCCCAACGACCCAAGTGGAGGCCCTGGTATCTGGAATATATTTACTTTCTACAATTGAAACTTTGTAGCCTGGAGTGGAGGTTTAGGCCTGCTAGGTTAGGCGGAAAGCTTGGCTTCTTCCATTGCCAGAGAAACCCACGCTTCTGTGGCTGCAGCCATTTTGGTTGGGTTAATTTGCATACTCTGGTGTGTGGGCGTGGCTTGTGAAGCAGAATGATGGTTAATTTGCATATTACTCTTTTATTAGGTAGGATAGGGAGTGAATGAGTATGTTGCTCATCTCTCTCTTTAAGTGTTCATCATAAGCTGAGGAGAGGACAGATTTATCCTGTTTGAAGAGTCATTAGAACTGTTAGATAAACATTTTATTCTCTCTTGCATTTTAGGAACCTGCATCAATAATACATCTGTGATGATGTTCAAAAAGGGAAGTTTTGAAATTGGAGCCACGGTTTACCCTGTTGCTATCAAGGTACAAGATCTCTGAGGGTGCGTGTGGTCATTGTGGCTGCTGCCAGAAACAGGATGCAGCCGGAGAAGATGGAGGAAGGCGCTGGTGGCACCATCAGCAGGTTGATCTTCTCTGGCAGAGCAACCTGGGCTGGGCCATGTGGGTCGAGTGCTTAGGAGAATTTGGCCTGTTCACAGCCTATTAGAAGGGACTGGGAGTCTTGGAATGTGGAGCAGCCAGATTCCAACCCACGCCTCCTGCCCCCAGCAGATTCAGGAAGTGGGGAGCACTTTATAAGCTTCATGTATTTCCGCCCTTATTACCTATCTTCATAAACCTCGCTGGGACGGAAGGTGTTCCCCCTGAAGGGGTGGCTTACTGCAGGGAGTGGGTGCTCCCCAGTAGATTGGTGTCCGTGGTGGAGAGACGACGGTGTGCGGGCGAGGGCGGCTCATCTGTGTTTATAAGGCGAAGTGGATCCTAAGGGCCTGTTTAGTCTATCCCTCCACCTTTTAGGAACTGGTACCTCTATTGTTCAAACTCACCCAGAAATGGGACTCAGTTTCCCTTTTTCTCCTTCCCTCTCCTTCCCCTTCACATTCTTCTGATTTTATAAATACACAGCATTCTTTCTAAAAGTTTGCTGTTACATTATTCTGAGAAACACAGGCTTTTGTTAACATGTTTAAAGTATTTAGGTTGAAATCAGGGTAAAACAGTGAGGAAATTTGAGCTGTGAGGAAATTAGAATTTAGTCTCCATACTTTTGCAAGGGTCTTTCTATTGTCTGCAGAACATTCTGTGAAAATACGGTTTTTTATCTTCATCTTGCCAGCACAGCTGGTGCAGGGGGGGAAGAGGTGCTCCTCTTGCTAATGCTTACAGGTGGGTGAAGCACCAGGGCAGGGATGGCCAATGCAGAATGGCTGCAGGGCAGCGATCCGTGGGTCAGAGCTGCTCGAGAGCTTTGTGGGGGTGCAGTGTCTGCTGTGGGTGCAGGACTGGAGAGATGTTTGCTCTGCCTGCATTTTAGTGTGCACGGAACCCAGTGCTTCCCAATACATGTTTATTAAAAACAAACCAAAGGAAACATACGTACTACTATTTGTAATACTTTAAACAATAAAAATAAATAAGTAAACAAACAAAAAATATAGACCAAAATAATAAAAAAAGCAAAACACCACTGGCCCTAACTGGTTTGGCTCAGTGGATAGAGCATCAGCCTGTGGGCTGAAGGGTCCCAGGTTCAATTCTGGTCAAGGGCATGTTTGTTGGTTGCAGGCACATCCCCAGTTGGAGGTTTGCAGGGGGAAGCTGATGTTTCTCTCTCATCCATGTTTCTAACTCTCTATCCCTCTTCCATCCTCTTTAAAAAAAATCAATAAAATATATATTTTTAAAAACCACAAACTACTAGACAGAAGCCTTCCATGCTCACTGAACACTTTGGTCCTTGGATCTCAGCTGCATTAGCTCACCGGGAGGGACTGAAAACGCAGGTGCTGGGCTTGTGCTTCTGACTTGTTCCTGGGCATTGCTGATGCTGCCAGTCAGGAGCCACACTGTGCACCCTGCTCTGGAGCGGGGGTTTTAGCCAGTTTTGGAACCTAGACCCTTGGGGCAGTTATGACTCCTCGCTAAAAGAAAAGGCATGTGAATTTTACATAGTTTCATTCCATTCACAAATTAAAGTCCACATAAGATTAAGAACTCTGCTCCACAGATACTTTTCTAGTCTTGTGAAGTTTGCATTAATCAAACTTGGATAACCTTAGCAATTTCAAGACTTACTACACTTCCACCAAAACTGTTTCCACCAAAATTGTCGTCATCTGATTTTGAGCAGTTCATTGCTATTTTGAGCTCTTTGCCTCCTTTTTCTCCCTATAGGGTCTGCCCAGCATGGAATAGAGAATCAGCCCTAAGCCAAGGACTCACACACTGACACATATCACATGTTTTAATCTATACAGTATAGTTAGTGCTTTACAAAACAGGACAACACTCTTCAGATCACATACATCTGTTTAAAACTCATTCTTCTCTGGTTTCCTTTTGGTATTATAATGTGATGTCATTAAGCCTTTTGTAGTTATGTCTCAATTTCATATTTTCTGTAATTAAACCGAAATGTCTTCATTAAAGTACTCGGGTTCTCAACTAGGAATAATTGTCCAATTTCTATTCTGGGAATCATAAAATTTAGGCTTGGAAGACCTAAAATATCCTATAGGTCAGACTGAGCCCATGCCCTGAGTACAGGGTTCCCCAGCACAGCCTCCTGCCTGTGCTCCTTCCGCAGCTCTTCCCTCAGGGGCTTCGGCACCTGCTGGCAGCTTGATTGTGTGGCATCACTCTTCAATTCCACGTCCACTTATTTTTCCACTCTCTGTCCACCCTCTTTGCTTTGTAGTCACACAAAGCCAGCCTCATGTCTTATCTATGATGGACTTTCGAACATTTGATACCAGGCCCATGCCACTTTGTTCGGGGATTCTCCTCAGGCTCAGTTCCTTCTGTGCTTCTGTAACTTGCTCCAGGACCCCTCCCACAGGCTTACTGGCCACTTACATTATTCTTCTGTTTGTTGAGAATGAGGGTCACAGCATTGGCTACATTTCCCACAAAATCCTGTGGAATCACAGCCTCTGCCTCCATTAGAGTCGTTGGCAAATGGAAGTATCGTACAAGCCCGCGTCCTGGTGGGAGGTGCAGCATCTCTGGGCGGACTGTGCTGTCGCTGTGCGTCCGCTCACTCAGGAGCACTGACGGTCAATCAGAGCAGAGCCTCCTGCTCAAACAGATAACTGGCTTTGCTAGTGCAGAATTGCAGGAGCATATCTTAAGCTTTCTAATTGTTTTCTCTGGGTCAAAGGCCCTAGAAATGGTATTTAAAACTTGGTAGTTATGTAGCTATGTGGGAAAATACCTTTATTTGGGGGAGATAGATGTATTTATGAGGGAATAGCATGAGGAGGTAGGGTTTATAAGAAGGGAGGAGGATCATGAGGCAAGTGAGGTGAAATTTTGGTAATGATTAGATCTAGGGAATGGGTATAAGGGAGTATATTATCTTAGTCTCTTTTTCAGTATGCTTGAAAACTTTAATATTAGAGTATATGTGCCAATAAGTGAGCAAGATGTGAAACTAATCAAAGAGGGAGGACAGTTGTCTGAGGAAAGCTGTGAGGGGTGTCCTCCCTGGGAATCTACAGCAGTCTTTGGGGTTAGTCAGGGAGGTTAATGTTTCTAGAGGTCAGAATTGCCTGGAGTAGCATTACTTCACAGGTGTTTGTGGAGTGGGCTAGAATCAGCTTTCTAATACTGACACTGCCCCAGGGATGCATTCATTGTCAGAACTGCTGTCCACTGTTTTTCAGTATGACCCTCAGTTCGGTGATGCCTTCTGGAACAGCAGCAAGTATGGGATGGTGACATACCTGCTGAGAATGATGACCAGCTGGGCCATCGTCTGCAGCGTTTGGTACCTGCCTCCCATGACCAGAGAGGTAGGTACCCCCGCTGCAGAGGTCTTCACTTAGCTCTGTGTGAGCCTGGGCTCAGTGGTCTCCTTCACTTTCTTACAGACAGATGAAGATGCCGTCCAGTTTGCAAATAGGGTGAAATCCGCCATAGCCAGGCAGGGAGGACTTGTGGACCTGCTGTGGTGAGTCTGTGTGATTTTATCCGCTGGGTCTGAGAGAATGTCAATTTCTGAAGAAAATGCTAAATTGTTGACCTCATTTACGAAGACTCCTCCCCTCTCTGGTGGGGAGAATGAAGCTCACCTGTCCTGGGGCAGGAGCAGTTTGCTCTCCCTTTGTTACCCTGATCTCGGGGGACATGGAGCCTGGGATGCTTGGGCTAAAGCAGTGAGTTGTAGCTCTGGGATTGGTACCAGTCTGCCAGGGCACCAAGCAGTCTTGTCCCTTCAGGTGGGGGAGCCCTGATGCTGATCTAGAAACCTCCTAGGGGTACTAGGCTTTCTGATCTCATATATTTGGCAAAATTGGATCATCCTTAGAAAGGCAAACGTTTTACCTACTAGAGCAGGAATTGGCAAGCTTTTTCTGTTGCGTCAATAAATGTGTTAGACTTTGTGGACCATGTGGATCATTAGCGGCAGCTGCTTAATTCTGTCCTTGTGGCACGAAAGCCACCAGAGTCAACACATAAACAAATGAGTGTGTGTGTAACAGGAAAACGCCATTTATAAGAACAGGTGTCAGGCTGTGTTCGGCCTGTGATCACAGTTTGTAGACCCTTATACTGTATATGAGGTAGTTATACTCCAGTAACAGCAGAGTGACAGGTGAGTGCTGGCTCAGGGAAACCATTCAGGCATCTTAGGATCCCCAAGGTTAAGTGCGGGGCTCTGGAGAACATTTCTGGAGTGGACATTGTGGGGAAAGTGGAAATTCAGATTTGTGGGTGCTCCGTGAGATCTTACTTCATCCTCAGAGGGGCTCCGGGAAGTATGGGAATTGTTGCTCCCATTTTTCAGATGACAGACTGAAACTCAGATTAAGTAACCAACGCTCAAAGTCACAGAATAAACACTGGGGCCAGATTTTGAACTCAGGTCTGACAGGCCTGTAGAGCCAGAATGCTCATGCACTGCTCACGGTCCCTCTCAAGGCTGAGGAAAGACAAGGTGGCTGCCTTTGAAAGGCCGCCTTTGCTACGATGTGAGAGGGCGGAGTGAGGTCTTTGCATAAGGTCTGTCCAGTGATGGGGCTCCATCAGAGACTTCCACCACTACCGCTCCGTAACTCAAGAAAAGGGTGGGTGGGACTGAATGGGGGTATGGATCCTCTTTAGTCATCAAAGCTGTGGTAATTCTAGGGTGTAGGTGAACAGTTGAGGTGACATAGGGTGGGAGTGGGACTCTAAAGAGGCAAATCCAAGTGGAGCGCATTATTTGGGGAAATGAGGAAGTCTGGGATTCCCCTGGTACTGTCCTGAGCACAGAAGGAAGACCACGGTATTTCCCGTGTGTTTGTTGTTTGCATGAATCTGGAGAGTCCTTGGATCTGAACTTTACAGATTTTACTTCACAGATCCATTTTATCAATTTATTGTAAGTCTCAATGTTTCTAAAGCTTGGTTCACTTTCCATAATGCCAGAAGACCTCCTTTGTCTCTTTTAAGGTAAGGATGAATGTTGGAGTAGAAAGTGGTAGGTTTAAGCAATGTCAGTACCTTGAACATGAGTGGCGAATAATGGCCCCAGGCAGGAGTGAGTTTTGAGGTAGAAAGGATGGATTCCACAGTCCAGACCCACTTTCTGAGCTCACCCTGATGAGAGGCCATGGGGGACCTTTGTTTCTGCCGGGCTGTCTTGATTCCAGGCAGCATAGGGCAGTGGCTGTGGTGCAGGGTGGGCAGGAAGCGTCGTCCTTACATGCAGCCTTCCTCTCCCCAGGGATGGTGGTCTGAAGAGGGAGAAGGTGAAGGATGCTTTCAAAGAGGAGCAGCAGAAGCTGTACAGCAAGATGATCGTTGGGAACCACGAGGACAGAAGCCGGTCTTGAGCCCACACCTCGCGCTGGCCGGAGCCACCGGGCCGAACCCTGGCACTCCTGATGGGAGCCAGCTGGAGTCCTTGCCGCCGCCCCCACTGCTGCATTCCTTCCAGGCTCGGGTCTGCGGGCTGCTCTGGAGCCTGGTGCCCGCTTCTACAGAGCCGCAGGGCCCCGGGCTCGCCCTCTGAAGCGAGTGCTACTGGGTGCTGCCGCCCAGGACGAGAGGCCTTCTTGTTTATTTTACACTTAAGTCCATTGAAGGAATGAATGCCATTAAAGTCAGCCCTCAACCTGTGCACATGCGGGGCTGAGTGATGGGGAAGATTCGGCCACATTCCCATGCTGGGCCGTGGGACACCCACATGCCAGGGTCGTGGCTGGGGGAAGGGCCACCCACTCGTGAGGAGCGGCACTGCCAGGCAGTGTGGCCGGCCAGCCCAGCATCGCCCCGCCTCGGGGCTTTGCAGACTCGATAAAAGAAAACTGTTGTCTGCAGGGGCTTTCTGCTAAATGAAGTTTTAAATTCTCATGCAATCACCAAAGGGCATGGGGAGAGGCAAGATGGACCAGTGACTAGTGTGTGGTGGGAACCAAGAGTCATTTCACGTTCAAACTCCAGTGCTCACCCCAAACTCCCATGTGACTTGCTCTTTGTTAATACGTGCCTCAGTTTTCCCATCTGTAACCTGGATCGGGAGGGGAGGGGTGGTGATACCTACCTCACAGGGTTGTTGTGGGGACTGAAGTGCTGCTGTGCGTGAAGGATGAAGAAGCTCAGTGTTACAAGTCCAGGACCCTGAGATGTGGCAGGACAAGGGCAGAGCTTAGCGCTGCTGCCCAGGCTTCGGAGTTGTTTTTTGAGTAAATAAAATTGTCTGACGGTGAATGAATAGAGGGGATTTTCCCTTCATTCTTTCTCCCCTAGATGTAACCCTAAGCAACACGTTTCTTAACAAAGTTACAGAACCCGGAACCCGGGGCTGGCCGGTGTAAGCTTGACTTCTGGTCTGAGGAATAGCATTGTTCAATGGATTCTGCTGCTGCTCTTTGAAAGCATATCAGATGTTTGTTTGCATTTCTCCCTAGTTAACTTAGACTTCCCAGCAGGGATGGAGATGTGGAGTTCTGCACAGATGGTGCCCTGGGCCTGGAGGTGTGTGATGGGGGCACGTTGGGTCCAGGTGGGCGAGAGAGAGTGCAGGATGGCAGATGCAGTCTGTAAGGACGGGAAAGCCATGAGGAAATACAGGGCCAGACAGGAGCGGAGGCCGGAAGAGGCAGTGAGGGGCGGGACTGGCTGTGCACCGTGGGCTGTCACAGCCAGAGGGAAGCAGCATGGCCCCCTGCACCCACCTGCAGGCACTGAAGGTAGATCCAGAGCCAAGCCACCCTCAGCTTCCTGGTCAAGGATCTCCCAGTTTCTAATCCCTCAGAAGAGCTGCCTCACCTCTACCATTTATCCTCTCCCCCACATCCCTTCACTCCGAGTGGCCCAGTCACTACACCTCTCGGGATTTTGCCCCAGCCATGGCAAGTGTCACCCCTCCAAGTCCACCTCTGGCCTGCGATTTGGGGATGTGGGAATGAAGCCCCGCCCCTGAGGCTCCTGATCGATAGCACTTTGCCTGCCTGACCTGAGTGTAACTTGCCCTAACCACTGCCTAACCTCTTCGCCCCGTTTCCTCTTATCTGCTACCCCGTGGAACATTTTACTCTCAAATAAAAACACTATTACGACTGCAAGAACAGCCTTATGAACTGCTTTACAAAGTATTCAAGAGTAAACCGACTATCAGCCTTTATAAGAGGCGATATTTAGTGTTTTCAAGCTGTCTGAAATGATCTTTAAAAATGGATCTTGGGAGATGAAGGTCCCTTTAAAATTTCCTTTTTAAAAAGCCTGCTGATTAGTACATTTATTTTATGGTTTTCATAGGTATTTAATATTTTATCTCTATTTTCCTCATATTATTTTAATCAAAACTGGCTGCTGATGACAAGTATTGCAGGAACCTGGTTTAGAATCACTACTATGTAAAGAAAGAACTTGTGGAGACTAATAAATGATTACTTCCCTCTTTTACTAAGTGGGGAGAAGAGAGATGAATTACACTGTATCCCCCTCCCCAACAGACCTCTAAAATTTTAATTCAGTACTTGTTACAAGCATGCAGATACATCAGACTGCTCCATCATTCTAATTGGGGACCCTGCAGGCCCCAAGTTCTCCATAAGTCAGAATACTTGGTTTGGGATAATGGAGTTGGGCTTGTGTGGTAAAACTTCATTGTACTCAGGGATAATAACAGAGGAGCATATAAAATACACTCGCTCTTGTGATCCCAGCAAAGAGGGTGCTTTTAGAGTAAAACCAAGTGTGGCATTCATGAGTGTCGAGAGTACCATCCCACTTCCAAATCTGTGACATCTCCTTGGCTGCTTGGATTGGATTTCCCTGACTGCTCCTTCACCCATAACTAAGGACTTGGGCTAGACCAGTGGTCGGCAAACTGCAGCTCGCGAGCCACATGATACTCCTTGGCCCCTTGATGTGGCTCTTTGACAAAATACGACAGCCTGGGAGAGTCTATTTTGAAGAAGTGTTGTTAGAAGAAGTTTAAGTTTAAAAAATTTGGCCCAGTAAAGAAATTTCAGTCGTCGTACTGTTGATATTTGGCTCTGTTGACTATGAGTTTGCCGACCACTGGGCTAGACGACCTCTAACGCCCTTTCCACCTCTGCAGTTTCTGTAATTTTTAAACCCATAGTTCAAACTTCAGCTTTAAGTTCTAAGTCGCCTGGGTTCAGAACTAAGAGAAATCAGTTTAAAACCATTTGCTTGCTCCAAA